ATCTCATATTTTGTTGTGGGGGGGGGAAGGGCATTTCCAGTTGGCAGTGGCCAAATGACTTCTAAGGGGTTGCAGATGGGACATACGTCCCTCTGCGCCAGACAAGAGGGGCACCAAAATAAGTTTTAGAGGTATTTAATGGAAAACAATTCGTTTCAGGGTTAATGATGGGGGTGGGGGAAAAAAATCACGTCCCCTTGACGCAAACATTTAACCTACGTCCCTTCCAGAAGCTTAGAGAGGGGGAAATTAGGTGTTTTTTTTCTACCCAGGTCTCACATTTTTTTTTATATATTGAGATGCGACATTTACGGACAACTGCACAGTTTGTATCGTGAAAGGGAGAGCAGCCAAAATATTTGGACTCACACGGTGAAACAAATATTAGCTACGTATCTAGGAAGTGTATCTATCGTCACCAAAATTAGAGATCAATTTCATCGGGTTGTAGGGTAAAATCGAGGGCGCTAGTGAATCTTGCCTTTATTGATATAAATAAAAGCAAATACAAATATCATAAATGATAAATCAGCTAACCAAGCCAACCAAGAGCATATCTCTCTGTCAGGAAATGCACTGCAAGAAGTGGAGGATTTCACATACTTAGTTAGCATCATTGACTTAAATGGTGAATCCGAGGCGGATGTCAAGGCTAGAATTGAAAAGGCTAGGGCATCATTTGTGATTTTTAAGAAAATATGGAAGGCAAATGAGCTTACTCATTAAACCAAATTCACAGAACTTTCAACAGAAATGTAAAAGCCGTCCAAATCTATGGAGCAGAAATTTGAAAAACAATAGCAAGCATTACGCAGAAAACACAGACCTTCATAAACACTTGCATTAGAAATATCCTGAACATCAAATGGCAAAAGCCATCAACAATAAAGACTTACTGGAAATGACATATTTTGAGCCTTCTAATGAAGGCATCAAAAGGAGAATATGGCGGTGGATAGAGCACACTCTCCAAAAGATCCCAGATAACATCACCAGAAAATTCCTAATATTAAATCAACAGTGAAAAATAAAAATAGGAATTCTTAAAATACACGGAGATGCGTACTAGAGGCAGACACACAACGTATGGGATACACCTGCAAGCAACTAGAAAGGAAAGCACAGGGTTGAGATGAATGGGAAATTCTTGTAAACACCCTGGGGAGCCTTCTCCCCAGAATTGTTTTTTATTATTTCAAAATCAAATAGGTGCATTTTGGAATGTAGATTCAATGTTTCTATTAGACTTGTTGATCAGGGGTGCTGAAGACAGTCGCGCAAATTCAAAATGCAGAGGTGCATTTGGGCACATCTATGAATACCGTGTTTTTTTTTTCCAGAAAATTATTAAGTGACATTTCAAAGTGTCAAAATGAGCCATAATGATGATCAAAGTTAAACTTAACGCCACACCATCGGGACATGAACTAAATTCATTACAGCTGTGACGCCATTGAGAATATGCATTTTTCCTTGCCTAATATCGCCTAATAAATCTTTATAGTCTCCCATCATTTTTTGTTTTGTTTATAAATTCAAAATAAAAAAAATGCATTTTAGTAAATACTTTAATTTAGTTTTGTAGCATTCTACACACGCAGAGCAACGGAAGAGATGCTAATTAAAGAAACATGACCACATTCAACCACACATGCGGCAACTCCACTGGCTTCCAATATCCTCTCGCATCAAATACAAGTCTTCCAATCTTTGCTTCAACTCGTTCACTGACCCTCACTTTCCTGTCTATCTCTCTGATCTGTTGCTTCCTTACATCCCCACAAGACAACTACGTTCTTCCATTGACAGTAGAACCCTCTCAATCCCAAGAACTAAAACTAAGACCATCGGTGAACGCTCCTTCTGCTTCCATGGGCCCACGTTCTGGAACCAGCTCCCCTTCCATATACGTCATAGTGAAACCTCGTCCATTTTCAAAAAGTCCCTTAAAACTCATCTGTTTAGGTCCGCCTATGACCTGTGATGCACCCTCCTTGCCCTACCTAATTTTCTGTTTCGGTTTAATCCTGAAGTGTCAAAGTGTCCTCTTTTTATAGCCATTTTCATTGTTTCTATAGAATAGTAGTTACTATCCTAGTGTCTCATTTGTATTTACTTAGTTTACATGTTTTAATAATTGTAAAGCGCTTAGAGCTTTATGATAAGCGCTATATAAAAATGCCTAAATAAATAAATAAATAAATAAATTTAAAAAAAAAAAAAAAATGTAGGTGTCACTTAACCTTATAAAAATCGTATGAGCCCAGCAATCTATAAGACTGCAGTGGACCTGGGATATTTTAGGGCTTGTGCATGGGATGTGGATATTTTCTTACTGACGTCCTTTCAATACAAGGTAGGGGGAGGACAAAACCAAAAAGTTGCAATAGGGGCCTCGAAAATCGAGTGTCGACTCTGCTGGACTTAGAAATGTTCTGCAAATATATATTTTTTTTTAGATTTACTAAATAAATTTCTTATAATAATTAACTTACTGGAAATAATAACCTTTGCTAATTATTCACAAGGTTTACCATTTAAAAAAAAAATTGTAAAAATGGTAAATAGAAATGTCAATACATTTTTATAGGTCATCAAAACTTTTCACTTTTATAATTCTTTTATGAGCGGCATTATTATTTAAAGAAAACATGAGTTGTTTACCTAATAGAAGAAATTTCCCAATATTCAGTTGTTTGAATTTTTTATATTTTTTATTTTAAACTAATATAACTTTGATATGTACTCTAAAACAAGTACCAACAAGAAATGTAATTGGCGTGATGATTGATGATATAAATTCTAGTTCACAACTATTTTTTTTTTATTTTTCTTTCTTTTCTAATTGTTTCTCAATTTAAGAATAATATTTAATAAAAAAAAGTCTTTGCATATAGATGGAGCAGTTTTATGATTATTCTAATATTAAAAAGAATACAGTTAACACAA